ATTATTTAATTAATTAGTTAATTTTTTAAAACAACTAATTATTGAACTAATACTCTTACTAATGATTAAATTAATTTAAAAGCACTATTTTAATTAGTTTTAATTATTAATTATATCATTAATCATTTAAACATTCTAATACTAATTAAATATTATTTATAATGTTATGTAATAACTATTTCTATTTAAAATTATAATTATTAAACATTTATTTTAATTTTACATTACTAATTAGTTAAATAATTCAAGGTTTGCTTTTCATTTTATCAACTTTGTTTTTTTCTCGTTGCCATATCTTTTTGCTTGCTTGAGCCTCCTGTGCTTCATGTGAAGTGAAGTTTGAAGTAGTGTGTTGAAAGAGTCGCTAAAACATAGTTCACATTTGTCTATTATTCTGTTGGTTTGGAACTTTGGTTACCAATAAGAGGTATTGCCGTCTTAGGTTTTGAGTCTCGTGTATGTGACGTGTGTGTAAGTTATCTTAATTGATCTAAATATTAAAAAAAAAAGTTACTAAAGAAGCTTCTTCACCTCCTTCGACAACATTGGATTAGAAGTAATGAAGCGAGTCAGCTCTCTGCGAAGGTAACCATCTTTATCCCTTTCACGCGCTTCTTTGACCAAATCCCGCAAACAACAAGATTTAGTAAATCCAAAATTTACAGCAAAAATAGAGAAAGTGAGGATTTATTCCGCTGAAATTTAAGGGGGGCTCAAATGCCATTTTTCATGATTTAGCATAAATCCTACTCAAACATGCATAAATCCTATTGCCAAAAAGCCCCAACATTCTTTTATTCCGTCCGGTGTAAGGATGCAGAGGAACCTCTGGTTGTAGGCAAAATCTTGCCTATACCGAGGTGTACCGAGTTTTTTCAAAAAACTCGGTACACCTCGTTATAGGCGCGATTTTGCTTACAACGAGATGTTTCTCTGCATCCGGTCGGAGGACGTAATAATTGTTCGACAATTAGGCAACGTTCTTCCTTCTCCTAAGTCTACGACGTTCTTTGCCTCATTCAACGGCATCGGCCTCCTTTGAGGACGACATAGTCATGGACAACGATGGTAACCATCTTTCTCCCATTTCGTGGGCTTCTTCGACTATATTTTGTAAATCCACCGAATTCTTGGATTTAATAAAGCTATGATTTACGACAAAACGAGGGAAACATAGGATTTAACTCTCTCTGAGATTTTGGGGTTGTTTGGATGCACCAACGATTTAATATAAGTAAGATTTCGTAAATCCTCTAAATTTGAATTTACTAAATCCTAAGGGTGTTAAATCTTAAAAACTGTTTAGTAAAATTCAATGAACATCTTGATAAATCTTGTGTGAATTCAGAATGTAAGACGGTTAACACATTTAAAATTTATTTCTTCAATGATTAAAGTATAACAACAAAAGTTCAAATGAAACACATCAAAGTTTTGTTAATACTAATTAATATTTTAAAACTAATTAATTATTTAATTATTATTTATTATGTTATTTAGTAGTTATTTCTATTTGAAATTATATTTAATCCTACTAATTAGTTTGAAATAATTAAGTATTTAATTAATTTTTTATTTGTTTTACTTAATTATTTTTTTAAAAATTATATTAATTAAGTTAATCAATAATAATTCAGAGGCGTCTAGGGTTTACTTTTCCCTTCTTTATTTCGCTGTTGCCGTTGGGTTTCGTTCCTTCCCATGAGGTGTAGAGTTGTGCACGAGTCCGTTCCTCGGCTCCTTCGTCGCTGTTCGACTTCGCTCCTTCGACAACGTTCCGTTCCTGTTGGATTGGAAGTTACGACATTTTGATCGGAAGCAACGACTGGAGCTCGCTCGCTGTGAAGGTAACTTTCTCCCTTTCGCGTGCTTCTTCGACCAACTCCCGTAATTCCGCCGAACCGAAGGATTTGGTAAATCCAGGATTTATCACGAGAAGTGGTATTTTTCCGTCAACTGCAGCTCCCATTTACCGTGAGATTTGATTTTGCGTTTCTAGCCGATTGGGATTTAGCTCAATTCCGCCTCAAATCCGGCTTAAATCCTGCATCCAAACTGCCCCTTAGTATCTTAGCAGCAATTGTTGAGGTATGCTTCCAGCCCGCCAGCCAATCTCATTCACGACAGATCATGAAATTCATCCAAACACTTGACAAAATTACAATAAGGCTTGCGCTGGTAGCACCTAAGCTTTCCAGCACGCTCCCCTGTCTCCAGTCTTGCCCCCTCACCGACTCACCCTTGTGTGCTCACCCCCTGCCTCGACTGCTTGCCCCCAGCCCTCACGGCCCTTGTGCTCCCCCCGCTTGCGCCTCGTGGCTTGAAAGTTAGCTAGTCGGGTGGGGTCAACTCGGGTTAGACCCTGGTCGAGTTCGAGTGCAAATATCTGACTCGTTTTGCAATTCGTGTCGGGTTGGTGTCGTCTGAATTGGACTATGTTCAATTTCGGGAATACCCATTTTGACACCCCTAGGCAAAACACCACTCGGTAGTGTGGAGTGCGAACGTATGAAGAGGGAATCACTCCGGAATGAGTCTGTCTGCAAGATCTATGTGAGATTTTCAAATCCGGATTATATTTTCTTCATTTTCTTTTTTGTATCTCTTCTTGAAAGAAAGTAATGAAAAGTGTTTTGTTCCAAATTAATTCTATGACTAGCTAACTTCCTTGTTTTGGGCTAATGATGTGAGAACTATTTGTTTGTTCTAATGTAGAGTCTTGTATGTAAATGTTTAGGGTATTTTCAATTACTTCCGTGCTTAATTTAATTCATGCAATGACCATATATGAAGTTAAAGTTTAGTGTGATATATTGCCTTTACAGAGGAATGTTTAAACAATTAGGAGGATTGAGATAAAAAACTTTCATGACTAGACTTATGATGAATAGGATTTTAGGGTCTATGGAGATAGAATTACTGTAGAGAGGTGAAAACCCTTCTTTACACCCTTACAAGCTCGACAAAGATTTAAGGGTGTATATGCTCTGATTCACAACTATTGTAGATGAGCCTGCTTAGGTAAATATAAGTTCATTCACTATCATGAGTCCGAAACATCTTAATTTTTGGTTATCTTCACTTTTTATTGTATTTTTTTAGTAGAGTTAGCATCTCTCATTTATTTCATTGAGTATGATAAATTTTGTGGCTTGAGCAGGCAGTACTAGAGACAGTTGTAGCACACTTGTGTTCTCATCAGATTGACATTCTTCTTATACATTTTATTACTTGATCGACATGTGCACTTGTGTAGCTGGGAATGTCACACGCGCATATATAGTAGCAGCAAATCCCCATCAATAGCCAAATTTTTTTGTTATGATTTCAAATGATGTTCTATATTTTCAATGATAATCTAAGTGCTGATGCCGACCATGCCCCTTCTTTCTCCAATGTCAAATGAAACACACATAATATGTGTTCATATTTTGTGTTGTTAGCTTTATTATTATGAATGTTGGTTAATAATTTTCTTAAAAACAATAGAATTTATTCTTATGCTTCTGGATTATTTAAATATTGATTTATCTTTTTGGGTGAATGTAGATATGTGGGTTTGTCTTGAATGCATATAGATTATCTTTCACCACAGTTTGTTACTGAATTTATCTTGTTATTTCATACATCATTGGCATAAAGAAATATATGCGCATTTTAATCTTTTTTTTTGTGACCAGAACATTCAGCACAACAATTTGAGTTTAACTAAGCTGTCCAGATTAGACTTATGAGTTTTGAGCACCACCTAAACATGTTATTTAAATAACATCAATAGTTTAATCTACCAAAAAGTTTCAAACACAACTTCATATATAATAACTACTCAATCAGCTTAATCAACAACAATAATCAAGCCAAATAAGGCCATTGCTATACCGCATTACGAATGAGTGCATCAACATTATTCACTAATGATCTATCCTATTGTTTCTCAGTATCAACTTTGACTCTTAATGAATCTCGAAGATCTGCACAAGGTATGGGAAATTAAGACCCTAAAGAAGCCAGGTGAGGAAGAGGCTCATAATATCCTCAATCGCATTAGTAAGCAGGTCCAACCTATCATGCGGCGGCGTAGATGGCGGGTAAAAGTTCTCTCTGAGTTCTGGTGATACCCCCTATTTCCTTTTTCACTTTCTATTTCTTTAACTCTCTATCTCTTGTACATTTGGTCTCCTTTAAGATTTTGGGTTTAAACTTTTAATATTGATGCATGATTCAATGTTGAGGTAGTCCGACAAATCCATCACTTTTAGGCTTGAATGTCGGAGCGGGTTCGGAGGTGAAGCTACGTTTGCGGAGGCCTAATCGAGATTGGGATTTCTTCCCCTTTGAGCAAGTGCTTGACACAATGTTACATGAGCTTTGTCATATTGAACACGGCCCCCACAATGCACAGTTCTATAAGCTATGGGATGAACTACGAAAGGTACACACATTCACCAACTCCATTTATCTCTTGATAAGAAGTTATTTGGTTCATTCTGATTTTGATGATAACTTACATATCAAATGCAATGTATTTTATTTAATGGTATCTTATGTAATAATGTAATTATTGTAATGTTATCCAGAAAGATAAAGAATGATTTTAATCTTGCTTTTAGGTATTTTGTTTTAGATAGCAGCATATTTGAATGGAAATATATTTGGATGATAGATAGAGGTAATTAAATAAACCAAAGTTTAAAATTGCACAATTGGGTATTGAGGCGTTTTTCATTTGTGAGGCGAGGCGTAAGCCTCAAAATCCAATAATTGCGTGAAGTGAAAATAAAAGTTAAATTTGATTTTTAATTTAATACCAAAATAATATGTTAAAGAATGATATATTAGCTTTTTATTGAACTATGAAGTAGAAAATTGACATACATATGAAAAAAATGCACATGAAGTAAAGTGGCAAGTGATGAATTGCATGAAATCCAAGAATAAAACAACATAAAAGTATCATATAACATCAAGTTTAACTTCAAATTTCTTTTTTCTCACTTCCTTACTCATCCACAATTAATTCTTAAAGAAAGCTAAAATAATTGTCAACAACTCAGAAATCATCTGCACGGTCATCAGTGAGGGGTTTTTTATTGGAGTCATCATCATGACAAATTAGTCTCTCCTCTGCCTCATCCTGTGAAGTCCAACCCATTTGCTTCTCCATCATTTATTTTAGTCATTTTTGTCTTTTATAAATATTTGTCATCAATATAATGATGAGAGTAATGCTCCTAAATTTTTAGAGGAGGTGGTGGTGGTGTGCGGCTTTCAAGTGATCCCCGAAGGTGGCTACGATAATGGTGGTTGTGGCGAAGGCGGTAGGCTAGAGGTTGAGGCAGCGAGAGGAAGTTGTTGTGGCTCGGGGGTGTATTAAGGCATGATTTGTTTTGGGCTTTAGTTTATGATTTAGATAAGTTTTAACAAAAAAATATATAAGTAGCGTGAGGCGTACCAGTGAGGCGAGGCGCTTCTCAGGGCGGGCCTCAGCCAACTTGAGGTGCAAGTCTCATAAAAAAATTTTAGGCGTAAGCCTTGAGGCGTTTTTCAATGGAATTGCGCAGAGGCGGGCCTCAAGGCGGGCCTCATATTGCGCAAATTTAAACAATGAAATAAACCATCAATGTCATTTATGAAATTACTATTAATGATTTCAGTGAGCCAAATATCAAATAATTCTACTCATAACATTATATTATATAGCAAATGTCTACATACCTGATATTTATAAAATCATTTTCTAGATGATTTTATGCCCTAGAATAGTGACATCTGGATATCAACCAATTTACACAACATTTTGAGATGTTGTGGACATTTTATAAGTTGCATACAATCTTAATGTTTTTCTTCTAAATATATTTAAATATGATTACAATTAGCTAAATATATATTATCGACAGATATAAAATTGAACCAAATAATCCCTTGTTTTTTAACTCTTTTTTTTTTCAAGTTAATTCAAAATTCTATATTTGCTTCTTCTACAGTTTTGTAATGACCAGTAGGCTTATAAAATTTAGACTAGAAACTCAGTGAAAATGTAAAGCTTAAAGTCTCCTTTTGTGATTGCCATGAACAGTACTATTTGTTCTCCGCTGTCTTTCTAGAGGTTGCCATGAACTGTAGCACTGTAGGGATACTATTTGTTTTGTTTAGGTTGAAGTTTTGCCATTCTGAATATTGGACTATAAGCAAGAAAAGGCACCGTGAACAAATAGAGCTGATGGAAGACATCTCTTATGATATTTGTGGACTCTGATGGTAGTCGAATATATGAACTAAAGTGAATTCTATGTCAATTGCAGTTTAGAAACTAGGATAGTAACTTGTTTTGTAGAGCAACATAACCTCTTATTCATGTTTCGTCATCGTTTCAAATTTACAGTAGATGCAAAGAGTAGGACAACAAAATGATTGTGGATCTCCATCACTAAACCTTTTTTTTTTCAACTTCAAAAGTTACTCATTGTACTAATGCGTACAAAATGTATTATATGATTTAGTCTATTTGCATACAGAAGAAAATAAGCTCATACATGTTTCATGGGGTTTGATACCGTGGGTTAATAATGCCATTTGCATGCATGGCAAATTTTCAATCCACCCAGGGAAGATTGTAGCTTTTTAACACTTCGCAAATCGTCGTGGACAGAAGGTATTTGGATTTAAACATTTATATCTACATTAAGTTTCACTGAGAACAACCTAAGAAGTGTTTTAATGATAGTTTTTTGTTGCAAATTTATGTACTTTTCCTTTCAATTATGTGTGCAAGAATGCATCTATTTATGTATGCAGTCTTAGAAAATGGAAGAGTGACACAATTACAATGTGATTATCACCCATAGGCTGCTGTAGAAAGCATTGACAAATTTGCAAACTTATGGTTACTAGTGAAGATCATGAAACATGAATGGCTGCAGGAATGTGATGATTTGGTGGCAAAGGGAATAGCTGGTACTGGGGAAGGTTTTGATGGCCCTGGAAGACGATTGGGTGGTTTTACCCGGCAGCCTCCCGCATCATCTCTTCGGCAAACTGCATTGGCTGCTGCGCAGAAACGGGCACGTGTTGGTCCTCTACTGCCTTCTGGTCCACGGCGGCTAGGGGGAGATGATGTTATCATGTCTTCTCTTAGTCCTATACAAGCTGCTGCCATGGCTGCTGAAAGAAGAATGCTGGATGATTTGTGGTGTGGTTCAGTTTCCCCAGAAATAGAACGCATTAATGGCTTAGAAGCTCTTGGAGAATCTCCAAGCAATTCTAGGTATATAACACAAAAGCAAGAATTCTACATTGCGTCTGCTAGCTCTCTCAATTCATTTAATAAAATTGCTTCTAATAGCAGCCATAGGAGCACACCACCATCTGTGTCGACTTCTTCTCTTTCTGCAGTAGACAACATAGATGATAAGCTGGCATGGGAGTGCAATGTCTGCACTCTTTTAAACCAGGTTTGCTCTTATCTTCTATTTATATCAAATTTTCCCACCCTTCAGTTTGAAATCATCTCTAAATTTTCAATTCAAATAAATCTGAATTTAATTTAATCTCTAGAAAAGATTAGAAATGATCTTTCTATATTAGATTTAAACGAAAATTTGACTTTTAATAGTACACAACGGAGAAAAAGGATTCATTTAGCCGACCCTACGTAGTGGGATAAAGGCTTGTTGTTGTTGTTCTATTTCCTTTTTTCTTTTCTATCCTGGTACATCTTTGTCTTGACTGTATATCAAATTGTAACATTATTTTAGACGTCTATATATATATATATATATATATCTCATGCCTTTAGTTAGGCTTGTCATGTTAGAAACTTGTTAGTTGTTTTTCAACCTTTTGGCTTGATATGAAATGAGAAAGGCCTTGGGGCTTATTTGGTTGAGGGATCAGAGCTCAAATCAATGGGTGTAGATTCATAATCAACCCATACATTGTTGTGATTTCATTTCTCTTTACTTTCTTTCAATCCAAAGAAATCCTTCATCTTTGTATAATTTCTTTGTGTATTAATTGTTTATATGTAATTTATATTCTACAGCCATTGGCACCAATATGTGAAGCCTGTGGAACCCAAATGCCTAAACCCTTACAATCCAATTACAAAATCTGGTCATGCAAGTTCTGTACTTTGGAGAACAGCATAAAATTGGACAAATGCTCTGCATGTGAGCAATGGAGATACTCATACGGACCACCAGTGTCTACCCGCAGTCCCAATTATGGTACTTGAGGTAACTGTTCTGTATCTTCATGTAATTTTGGTGCAAATGTTAATGTATTTTGTTTAATGGGTCTTTGTGATCTTCAAATGGTGAAATGTGCTTTGAAATAGAATGCCCCACTCTCTCTCTCTCTCTCTATGGTGAACGTTTGAACGCTTTCTATGCATCATATGGTGAACTTCTTTGCGAATCTTTTTTTTTGTAGAAGATGAATGCCATCATGATCCCAAATTTATTATCTTCTATTATTTATATGTTTGATTTGTGAGGGAGTTACTTGGTTGAGTTATGATTCATATTAGGAGAGCAAGTAGGATTCGAAATTTCTACACTCTTCAAGCTGAATTATTAGTCAAGTACTCCCAGATTGTCAAAACTAGGTTTGAATAATAATCCTTTAGTTAACCATTAAGCTATTCGTAGTGACGAGGGTTAGGGGTATAAATGAGTCGAATCGGGTATGGTATCTATTGAAATTGGACAAACAGTAACAGTAACTATGAACAATAATCAAAACCAGAGATGGAGATGGAAGGATCATTATGGACCAAGGCTTCGTGTGGGACGGCTTTCTTATTGCTTCTTAAAGCAGCTTTTTAGTACAAAAATTAAAAATCTTGTACTAAAAAGCGGCTTTAAGAAGCAGTAAGAAAGCCGTCCCAAACGAAGCCTAAGACACAGGAGAATAGCTGCAATATGTTCCAAAAGCTACAGCAACGTGGGGTTCATCGCGAATGTGGCAATCAATGGGAGAAATAGAGATGATTCATAGTTTCATATCCCTCATTACATAAGCAGCATTTAGAATCAAACGCAGCTTTTTTATGTACAGTGCTTTCCTCAGTAGGGTCTTTGAGGTCAGAAGTTTGTTAGGCCTTCTCCAACCGAACTCCAAACGCATGAATGGCGTCGCTTGCGAGCTCCAGCCGAACAGCAAAACTTTCGATATTTGATTGCGGGTGAATAATGCGAGACACCAATATTGACGCCGCATTGTTCACCTGCGTTATTTTTATGTCTCTACCGGATTTGTCGAAGAAACGCGCGAAATAGAGAAAGACGGTTATCTTCTGCAAAAGGCGCAAAGTGGAGTTCGATTGGAGATGAATCATGCCATTTTTTAGCTTAAACGAAGCCCCTCTATTGATGATTTTAATGCACCCTTAAGGAAGGATGTTATATATTTATATATAATATATTGTTCATATGCTGCTTTTAATAAAGTGAAAGCAGTGCTGTACTCTGCTGTTGCACAAGGAAAAGTTGAGCTGAGCATACTTCTTTCAAGAATAGAATATTGGCACGTGGCTTATTTTCTTGGTTGGGTAATTAGACTCCTAGCTAATCATCTCACATGTTTTCCATTATTTATATGCAAGGCACAATGCATTTCATTTTAAATATTTTTATGAAAAAAGGCTATATTATAGTAATAATTTATGTAGAAAATAGGCATGAAATATTTAATGTTCAATACATAGTGTCTATTTGAGGAGAAATTATTATGTGCGGAGTTCAGAGAGGGAGAACCGTCCGGATTTGCTGTGTATTTATTGAGTATTTGTTGCTTATTTTTAAATACTCAATAAATACGCAAGAAATACTCACTTGTGAGTATTATTGAGTATTTTGTGAGAATTTGTTAAGTATTCGTTGAGTATTTTATGAGTATTTGTTGATTTATTGTATTTATTGAGTATTTATAAATATTTGACAAATATTCATTAAATACGTAGCAATCTGGACGGTTCTTCCCGTCCGGACTTCGCACAAAATAATTTTTTCTATTTGGGATGATTTTTTTTATTGTTTAAGTTTTTAAATTACAACCATAGTTTATTTGACTAGTATTGTTTTGATGCTTTCAAGAAATCTTCGGGTTAGAAGTTATGTTTTACATTAGCCTTCAAAAAATTATTTTATTCACAATAATTTTATTTTCTTCACAACAATTTTATAATAATATTTATAAAAAATTTCAGTTATCCCAAATAAACTTATAATTTATATCTTATTATAGTGATACCACAATTATAACATGCAAATTTAATGATTTTTAAATTTATCCTCATATAATTATGTCATAATATTTTGACATAAATTTTTTTAATGATAAAAAATATCTTTAAACAAAATTTTAAGGAAATTTTATCTATAAGATCCTATGTAATGTATGATTACTTAATAATTCCACAATTCATCTTTAAAAATCATTATTTCATTTCTCTAATTGTCAAACCATATAATTTGAATTGAATTATGTTATTTAGAAAAGAAAATAGGGGAAATTATTAGGTTTGGACACCGGACGTAGCTCTACATTCGGAGGTCAATAAAATGTCGTCACGTGCTCTTGCTCTTTATTGCGCGGCCCGATGACTCTACTCGGACCAGAACCCAGTATTGCTATGCTCGGGTATTGCTCGGTATTGCTAGATATTGTTAGGTATTGCTTGACAATAACGAGAAATATCGCTCTGTCAAGACCAATACCTAGAAATACCGAGCAATGACGAGCAATACCGAGCAATAACTAGCAAAATCGGGGTATTATTCGGTATTGCTAGGTACTGGTCTTGACATAATGATATTTCTTGTTATTGTCGAGCAATATCAAGCAATGCCTAGCAATACCCTGATCTGCACAAATCAGCCAATACATAGCAATCTCGGGTCCGGTCCGGGTCCAGTCGTCGGGCCGCATGGTAAATAGTAAGAGCACGTGACATCATTTTACTGACGTCCGAACGTAGAGCTACGTCAGAACACCTGATCTAATAATTTCTCAGAAAGAGAGGGGATATGTATACCTAAAGCTACCAAAAATGGCAAAGAATAAACTTTTCTTCATATAAAAACAAAGAATCACATCTTTCTTTGTTCTATATCTATGTTGTTCTTAAAAAATATAAACATTACTTATCGAACCTTTTAAATTACCAAATTACAAATATATAATTGCATAATAACCCTCTGTGTAGATAGATGAACCACCCCTTCCCTCTCCTCCTCAAGCTTGGCGCTGCAGTGGTCGCCGGAATGGCGGCGCTCCTCTCCTTCCGCCGCCATTATGGATTCACCGCTCTCCACTCGCTCCGCCGCAGCATCCTCCAAACGCTCCTCAATCTTCCCGGCGATGTCGATGGCGCCACCGTGCGCCCGACGATCCTAGTCCTCGGATTCCGGGGACACGGGAAGAGCGCATTTATTAACACAGTTTGTCGCGTGCTCGTCGGAGAGGAGGGGCCGATGATTCTTCGGTCAGAGACAGCGCCGGTGGGGTTACTGCTGCCGGCGTCAACGCAGTTGGCTGTGACGAGGGTGGTGGCCGTCGTTGGATGCGATTGCTGGGAGATGGAGGAGGAGGTGGAGGGTGAGGGATTGGTGGTGGAGTTCATTGATGCGCCTCCATTGCCTGAGCCGGCAGTGCTGACGGCGGCTCTAGTAGAAGCTGCGCTGGACTCCTTCGCCGTCAGAGGAGGCGGATCAGTGGCTCCGTTGCCTCCTGAGTGCGTGGTGGTGGTACTGAAATGTAGCCGGTGGGTGAGAGAACGCCATCTAGCCATCCGACGGTTGACAGAGATCGCCGGCGTTGTCAGGAACCGCGGTGGGTAATTTTATGCTTTGACTTGTTTACAATTTAAGTATTCAAATACGCATGAATATATCATTTCTTTATGACTTAACTAATTATGATTTGCAGGGCTGAGTCCATTGATTGTATTAACTCATAAGAAATCTCTCAGAAATTGTAAACAAGAAAAACTCAAACATGAGGTCGCCTTCAGAGCAAGAACTGATTGTGTCTACTTCATTGAGAACTACACTACAAAGTGTTCGACGAAATGTCGAGGTCCGACTGTCGTTAAGAACGACTTTGATACTCACTATACTGCTCTTGCAATCATCAAACAATGTCTAGAGTTCATAGCGCAACATCGAAGACAATCGTCACGAAAAAGAGTTAACTTAGCAACTCATGTCAATGAAAAAAAATAATGAGGAGAAGATTGAATTTAATAAAAGTTGATTTGTTGGTGTTGTTTATTAACTTGTGATGTGTGTTTTGTTTGTGAATGAAGGTTTTTGAAGTGGTTGAGCTTGGTCTCTACAAAGAGGATGTGCATGGCCCATAGGCTATTCATTTTATGTGTAAATAGAACTAATTGGGTGGCAAATATGATAAATTATTAGCCTTCAAAAAATAAATTATACCCTCATATTATCATAATAATTATTTTTTTTCTTTAAGAAATATGTTGTTTATAGGAATTTTGTGAGGAAGTGAAGATGGAAAAAGAACGACAAAAGAAGCTAACATGACATCCAAAAACTAGAATTTATGTGGTTAACTTTATAGCATATATCCATAGTGCAACGAGGAGGAGAAACCCACTATAAAAGTTAAACATCTAGTTTACATGGGAAGTCAACCTTGCTCTGCCATGAGCAAAGCTTATAGAGTTGGAATGACAAAGGAGAGGATGAAGAAGGGCAAGGAACTCCTTTTCATACAATAGTTCTTTTCTCAACCAATTGTGTAGAGAATAAGAGAGCATTGATAGAATTTCTCTTAACTATGAGGGATACTTAGAACGGCACGGGGTTATGTTCCACATGTTAAGCATTGTGATAATCAAATCCCATGTGTCGGGCTCTATTGACTAAATGCCTAAATATTCATTGGTACTTGAGCAATATGATGAGTGGAGCACCTACCTGTAGACATGTGTTATCCCTCTATGGACTCAAGTGAGAATGTGTTAAATATGTTTTGGCAATAAAGTGTTAACAACCCAAAGGGGCTTCCTGGACCAATTATATCAAACTTTGATAACTTCAATAACTAATTGGCCAAAAGGATGACTTGTTAAGGAGGTTGAGTTCTTTATAGAAACTTAACTCATCAAAAAATGGCAGCGAGAAATTCAATTTTTGACTTGGAGAAGTCTTTAAACATTTTGAGTTGTCAAATAGGTTTATTGACTAAAAGAATTCAACAAGAAAGAGCTAGGAGGAGTTCTTGGGTATACTTATTTCTTAAGAAGAGTGGTCGGATTTGAGTTTCAAGTGAATTCCTCACTAAGTGAGGAGGTGTTGATTTGGTTAGCTTGAGAGCAATGTGCCATAAATTTTAAGGCTATCATCAAAAGGAGCGCTTTTGGGCAATAACTATTCAAACTTACTAACAATTTATTGGAAGATGATTTTCAGTTGAGTATGTATAATTTATCTTGGAGGCTACCTC